GGAATCACAGAACAGTTTTACATCAGCTCAGTGTGCGCTCTGCAGCATTACCTGTCTGCTCAGGTCTGTGTCCCATTTCCTCTGGTGGTCCTCAGCTTCCACATGAAACTTTTCATTTTTAAAATGCATTACGACCAAATCTTTATAAACTGCAGGGCAGGCGAGAAGGAGGACTGTTAATTTCCTGATCGGTTCTTAAGAATTTAGCTTGCATGTCCGCACCACACTGACCTGGCTTTGCCAGTGTAAGTTGTCACAGGACGTTATTCTGCACCTTTTGGATCTGCTTAAGACACGTTCCCCTTCAGCCTGCAATATTTTCATATCCTGCCTTACAACTATTTGCATGACAGAATCTCTCTGCTGGGTGCTGCACTAGACAGCTAAGGGAGGTAAGTTTATTCACAATTCTATTAGCACACATTATTAGGCCACAAAAGGAACACTCAGAGAGTGCCTTCCCCTTAAGGGCAACACCACTACTGTTTGAGACACACTAGAAAGGCCATAGTTAATTATGCAGCAAATAATTATGCGCCCTAAAGTCATTTTAACCAAGCTACAACTATCAGTACTTAACATCTAAAGCAGACAATCCTACTGGACAGAGACCTGCCAGTTCTAAACTCTTGGCTGATTCCAAATCCAGAGCTGTTTGGTTTGTGCACTATAGGCTTTTTACCTTTGGACTCATTTTTGTCCTCATCTGTTTCAGCTTCCAAGTTTGAGGCCATGCGGTTTCAGACTGTTGGCAACAGACTGCATCTTGCTTATTGTCAGTTGATTTTGATTCACTTTCTTAGGGGCATCTGACACGGCGTGGCTTCCAGCCATACCACCTCCAGCTATTCTCTCACCATCTAGGCAGTGCCAGGTTCCGCTAGCTCATGAATGGGAATCTTCCCTCCCCATCCAAGCCTGTCCCCCCTCCCACAACAGGAAAGCCAAGGCTGTTGAAAGCAACAGGAATGGCAACAAAGCTGGCGTTGTTGTCCTGAAAAACCACTGGCTACAGCTCACCCGCTTCATTTACGGCATAATGGACATAAGGATGAATCCCAGCTTTTGTTTAAAAAATTTATTTGCCTTTTTCTTTGGAGAATGACTTGAAAATGGTATGAATGTCACTGCTGTAGGCAAAAAGAGAATGAGGGGAGGGGGAAGTGACACTATTTTTCTAAAAGTCACTGTTGTTCAGGGTGGTCTGGGGTATGACTCTCAGATCAACTTCACACTGGTGCAGTTCATGGAGGAAGTGGGAAGCACCATTCAGGATCCTGCTGACAACAGAAGGGCATTTTCAAGCTCTTTCTGATGGAGTTGCCCTATTAGTCTGAAGAAAGAAAGCATCCAGCATATTAAGCCGTTTATAATATGGAGACCTTGGACTTACACTTTTTAAGACTTCAGGGACCACTGTGATCTGTTTCCTCCCTTTTGTATAGTTCAGAACACAGTACTCCACCCGACAATCCCTGGATAAAACCCAACTAACTGTGGTTACATTAAAGCATGTTACTTTAAAAGCTATCCACTACTGACCATGCTGAATGAAAGAATGAGGCTTGCTGAGGGTCCTGTCTTCTATGGTAGGAAGTTTACGATTTGCAGCCTCATCTCATATTCAGTGGTCCCTACCCTGCCTGTTGCCCTTTTGTCACTGCAAAATTCTTCTGCTCTTCTCCTCTCCTTCCTTTGTGGGAAAAATTGTATCTAAATACAAATGGATGCTCCTTTTGTGTCCATGGACCAAAATTATCGCTCCAGATTTGAAGATATAAATACATCAGATAAAAGATATCAAAGATATCACTCACCCCATCATCAAACAACAACTCCATAGGTTAAACCTGAAGATGAACTTTTATAGGACCTATGAGCACCACGCTAATAGACCTATTTAATGATGTCTCCATGTTTTCACAGTGCAGCTGTCCGTAATAGTATTTTTTGCAGTGAGTCCAAATGACATTAGTGGCAGATTAGGAATCTGACACATCAATTAGTAATCCATTCACTTTTTCCAAAGTCTACATCAGAAACTATCTGTGTATGCCAAACTGGGCTTGTGATCTCCAAAGACATTTCCTAGTCTTAGGGCAAGAAGTAATAAATCTCAGCTTTTCTACACTCATAAGGAAATCAGCCTTCAATAAAGCTCACAACCATGGGTCTCCAAAATTTATTTTTGCCAATATGGATATCAGTTTTGAATGGATTTTTTTTTCCTAATTAAGAAAGTTGCACCTAGTTTTTCTTGGTTTTCATGTTTAAACCTGAAGTTTATGTCACCTTCATCTTCATCTCTGCAATGTGTTTCCTTGCCTTTCACAGTCACTTTAAAACGACAAGTTTGTAGGTAAAGGGTGCAAACAATCCTTCTGTTTGCACAAGACATGCTGAAGCAGGACTGACCAGAGCATCCCATTGCAGTTCAAAACCAGACAAATAAGGAGAAGTCTGACACCTAGTAAGGTCAACAAAAAGACTCCTCTTGACTTCAAGGACAGGAAGACACCAGCAAATTGACCAGACTTTGAAAGAAGTAACTAGGACACTAGTGGACAACAGTAGAGAGGGATGATTTTGATGCTCAGGTTAGGTGATGAGAGACAGATAGACAGATGGCATTTTTTCCCCTCTGTTTTGATCTGGCACACTGGGCTTTGATTACACATGCTTATGGCTGGGCTTAAGCAAAGGAAGAGGGGGCAGAATGGAGGGCTTGCTCCTCTGTGTGACACAGAATTGCAACTCATTGTGAAACAGGCTAACCTGGAACATGACCCTGAAACACCTGGGACAGCAGAATCCTGCCAGCAGCCTGTCTAACCTAACCCAGCTAGCTCCTTCACTTGGAGCCTTTCTAGCTCACTTGCCTTCTCAGATCTACATTGCCCAGACCCAGACACCTTAGACCCCTAGGCTGGCTCTTACAGATCCTCCAAGCCCATCCAGTGCTCAAATGCTCTTCCCAGTGTCTCTTGCCTGAGCCTCTTCTAGTTTCCTCTTTCTCAGCAACGTGGCTCATGAGGCACTTCTGTTAAAAAATACAGTCTCTTTTATAATTTTTCTTTCTTCACCTTCAGTCTTCATTTAAGGTCTCCATCTCTCCCCACAATTGGATCTATGACTCTGCTGAAGAAGATTCTCTGCACAACAACACACTCACTGTCCAAGTCCTCCAGGGTACTGAACCCAAGCCGCCCACTGTCAATCCCTTCAGTCATCTCAAACCCACCTCTTGAAATAGTTTTCCAAGATGGAGACAAAAAAAGAAAACCAGCAGAGAAATGACATTATGGTCTTACCACCAAAATTGCGCTCAGAAAAGAAAATGGAGTTTGCTATTTTCTGCAAAGATGGAGCGCTGCATCCGAAAGCATTACATCCCCTATTTATGTTGTGGATTTTGTGCAAGGCATTATTAGAAGGAAGCTTGACAGCTCTGCTGGGAAAGTTGGCAAACACCAGGGCAGACCAGTCTCACTCTTTCACACAGCTGGATTTTCTGCTGCTCAAGTATTTTTCCCTCCCGCTCTTGGCCCATCCAAAGATGAGTGCTGAATTTCCCTTAACATTACCCACAGGTTAATTTGTTATTAAGTTTAGGCTCAGTTTAACATCTTGGCATGCAATTTAAATAAAACCAAAACCAAATGTCCTTCATTTCTGCTGAAACCACCCTCGGTTTGGCTCAGCTGCATTGGTGTCACTGCAGGGTGAAGAGGAGATTAATTTTCATCTTGTCATTTTTGGTAGTAACCTAAATATTCTCCACGCAACTTTGAAATGCATTGCCATAAAATATTTATTTGTCATGGAATGAGATTGGCCAGAATCTGAACACGATACGTTGGCTCTGAGTTAGCTGTCAAATACTCGTTACTGTAGGAAAGGAGGATACAACAGACACATAAACAATAGGAGTCCAGAAGGGTACAGACAAAACTTACGCACAGCTTCTTACTAAAGGAACGATGGCGGAATTTCCCACCTTCCATCCAGAGAGGCTAAAGGAAGGAACACTTGAAAATCCCATAGGTACAGCCTTTGCCTCTGTGTAAATTTGTTCCTGGTCTAATTCTATATCTTACACAGGCTAACTGTGACACAGTGCAACCAGAGAGATGTCAATGGAAAGGGAAAAAAGCTCGTAAGTATTATGAGTAAGTGCACATTACACTTGGCCTGGAAAGCAGTGAAAGCGGACGCTGACCTTTGGGTTAACTCATTAACTGCACTAAGATGATGAAGGTGACTCCTCCAGTCAATTTTGTTTTCTTCTGTCCATGAGATATTTACAGGCAGCTTTAAAAAGTCTTCAAAGTCACCTGCAGAAAGTACCCAATAATCTCATTCTGCAAATTTCTGTCTGACTAGGAATTATCACATTCTTTGCTGTTTTTTCCAGTCAGTATTCAAAGTGTGTTAGTTAGCTGTGATTGAGCTGATAAATCAAGTTACACTATTTCTCTCTGTTGATCAAATAATACTGCTTAAGGACATTTCCAAAATACTGATGTTTACTATTTCAGCCACAGTAGATTACTTCACATGCAGAGATGAAACCATTACCAAAGTATTTAACTAATAAAATCCTTGACACAGACATCTGAACTTCAGAGATTTAGCAAGTTCAAAGATTTTGAAGTTGATGTTATTTTTGTGGACCTATGCTACACTGTAAACAAAAGCAGAATTTGTCTCTAGATACTACCATCAATCTTTGTGCTACTCAAAATCAAAACACAGAGTGGAAAATAGGGGAGGATCGAATAGAGAGATTTATGTGTGCTGAAATGAATATTTACATAATTAATACGTATTTACAATATGAATATTTACATAAGCCTCCAAAAATTAAGTTATTTTTCAATCTGCTAGATTTACAACATCATAACAAACATGCCACACTACTCATTGCATTTGTATGGCTTTAAACAGAAGTATGCTACAGTGGCATCAGTAAAGAAAGAAACAGAAGGACAAGTTCTTACTTGTGCCCAAGTTCATGTGCAATTGTAAATGCCAGATTGAGACCGTTGTCTTCAGCAAGAACACACTTTCTCTTGGCACTGCAGACACCTCCCAGGTAAGCAATTCCTGCAACAGAAACACAGAGAATGTTCCCATCAGAATCAATGAAGCAGCTCATTCACTCAAAACATACAGCAGTAATTCAAACAAAGTGACTAAAAATGCGCCCAGTATGGAAAATATTAGAGCAGTCTGCACAAAGAATCATGTGAGTAGTTTGTTCATCATCCTATTAAAACATCAGTCCAGAATTCTGTCAGATAGGAAAGAAGTTAAACACACTCACCTTCACTGTTTTCACTGGAATATTTCACTGACTCAAGAATTCATCTAAGCTTTTCTCTTAATGCCCCCTACTACAATGAAGATGCAGTGAAGTAGCCTTACCAAGTATTTAAATTGAATTCTCACCATTTTCATAATAAAGTTGGGGAGCAGGAATATAACATAAGAGACGTTCTCTAAAAAGATCTTACATTTTCCCTTATTTTCTTAAATAAAGCAAGAATGGCAGAGTCGGAAAAGCTGGCAAACTCCTGATGGTGAGTTAAAAAGCCAATGTAGGTGGCAGAAGTCTTCTATGACTTAGTGGGGTTTAGGATTTGGTCAGTACTCTCTAGGCCTGTTTGTGTGGGCAGCACAAATGACTGTAGGCTGAAGTTCAAAAGGAGTTCAGAAATCATGGCATGAAACTTCTGCTATGGTAAAACAAGAGTCCTCATATGCCCTTCCTGCATCCAGACTGTCCCCTGCAGGAAGTGTCTTTCAGTTTTTTCACAGCAGATATATTTGCTTATATTTAACAAAAAACAAAAAAATCTATTTCCTCGCTATAATCCTGTTCTCAGAGGGGTAGCTGGGATCTAGGTGCCTTTAACGAGTAGACCACAACCATGCAATAGAGACATGATCCCTTTTTTTTTTTCCCCCGTCTGTTAGAGCTGACAAAGCTGTGTTCATCAGGATGCAAATGGTGTAAAACTTTACACCTAGAAGAAGTCCAGTTCTGTTTTTATGAGTTTTGACAACAATATGGACATGGATATTTGTTGCCAGGGGGTCTCTGGATGGAATGAAGGGATGGGCAATAGCCTGTGAATTCAGAACTAGCAGCAGAGAGTGAAGGCAGTGCAGAAATCAGACACTAACATTTGCTTACTTTAAAAGTGCTGACTGTGGAAGGCCAGATCATACCACATGCACAAAATGAAACCAAGATTTTATCTTTTTAAATCAATGACCATAGAAGGCTGGATTTCAGCACTCTTTTTAAACTGACTTGCTTTTTACTCGCAGAAGAGTCATAAGGATGTCAAGGAATTGCTCAGGAAGTAAGATGTTACTTGGAGAAAGAGATTGCAACCTCAGTCCACACACCTGATGGCTAATGAATGGGTTATAGAACAGAATCTCAGCTCTGTGTGTCTGTAGTGTGTCTTGGGCTATGAACACGTCTTCTGTTTCCTTTAAATGTCACAAAACATTCCTGGTTGATTTCTGAAAGGGAAGTAGAATTTTTCTTGATTTATATCTGCTACCATGCACCCTTATAGTGACTTAATAATACCTTTACCAATCACAGTCTTCTGCTTCCAACTGTACTTGGGATCAGCAATTTCTGGGAATACTTTTGGCAGAAGGAAAAATACTGTTTGGGAAAATGTTACTTTATTGTAAAACCAATAGCAGAAGGTCTGAGATCAAGAGGAACTGCCAGATTTTGGTTAAAGGGAAGCAAAAATTGAATATTTGAGTCACAGAAACTAGAGATTAAAAGAAACAATTAGGTGACTCAGCCAATCCTCTGCTTCTTTAGATTTGTGCCTTTGTGCATTTTTGAGTTCTTAAATCCTCTCCCAGCATGTGCATATGAAACAGGGTACTTGGGAGGAAGGATGCTTCATGCCAAATAGCTAATCCACTCCACAGCTGCCTCTCCACTGGAGTATAGGGTGTTGTCACAGGAGACACAACTGTGATGGCCCACTGGCTGCTGGTAGTCCTGATCCCCAGCTGGGAGAGAGGAAAACTAGTGAGGGCTGTTGAGTTCACCTTGACTCATGAGCTTGCCCAGTTTGTTTTATTCCTACTCCTAAACCTGATTATTCCACCTTTATCTGCCATTTAACCAGTGTCAATAGATATCTCAGTTGTATCTGACACATGAGGTTTTGACTGAGAAGCAACAAAACAGTATCGCATCTCAAGCTCCATGGTCAATCAGGCAAGCCAGTTTAGCTTGAAATGATTCATGCTCATTTCCTTCTGATAGATTTCATAAAATGAGGCTGAGTCAATGTTTGGTCACTTGGAGATGGAAGGGAGCAATATTTCCATGTCTGGGAGACATGGTGTAGCAAAATGGTCTAGAGTCCTGTCAATATATTAAAAGAGGTTAAATATCAATTAACATGTCAAATACATTACCCCAAATGGTAATTCTTCTGAAGTCTTTTTTTTTTAGTGGTTCTAATCCCCACTGAAGCTGACTGGCAATAACACTGCTCTGTGCTAAAAGCCTCATTATTCAAAACTGGCAAATTAATGACTAAGGACTTGTACATCCATCAGTGGCTGAAAAAGAAGTGACTGTTGCTCAGTTACAGACTCTTAGTCACCTTATTTTTATTAGCTATTTTCAATGCTTAATGTGAATCCTGTGTGGTCATTTTAGGGTATTTGCAATGACCAATTTAAAAATGTAGTCATCTAAAATTAGGGTTTTTATTACAATTATTAAAGACTCCTCTTGCAGTGGAGCCCAGGGATCAGACATTATAAGAAAAGAAGCGAACTGGGGTAGGGAAACTCATAATCCTAGAAAAGCAGACAGCAGAAAACTTTGCAGTACATGAAATGAACTCAGCTCATGAACTGATGAGTGCTTATCAACAAGAGTCATTCTGGAACACCAAGCCAGTTAAAACAAACTGTAACATTTTAAGCTTGAAAAAGTTTGCCTCAAAAATGTTTTTGAAATAAATGATTTCTATCAAACTAAGACCATAATTTTCTTTTGGACCAATAGATTTTATGTAAATAGCAAATATGCTATTGACCTGCAAACATAATACAGTTCTTTACTAAATATACCTGAACCGTTGAGACAAATGCAACTTTTTTGTAACCCCATACAATGATCCACTTAATGGACAGCCAGAGAAAAATACACCTTCAACTGACAATGACAGTAGTACAATGCCTTGGCTGCATTAATATGATTTATTTTCTTCATTGGGATTAATGGAAACTGTTGTTTGCCTCTTAAAAGTCCAGATTTTTATCTAAGCCTTTCAAGTCTGCAGAAGTGGAATAGAAACTTCATTAATTCAGACATGTTCATGAAAATCCTGGCATTATGTGGTTCTACTAGGATGGGAATGATATAAGAGGAACTTCTCTTAACTGGTAATTTTGCTTTTCTCCCTGTCTGGGAGACAGGCGTGTGAAAATGAAAAATATAGAAGGAAGTTGAACCCTTTTTTTTAAAAAAAAACAAAAAAAAACCAAACCAACACTTAACACGTGCTCATGCAAATACACAGACAGTAGCTTTCTTCAGGGACAAAAAGTCCTTATCTTCCCAGATACACTACTAACTACCAGCAATTACCACAAATCTATTTTTAATATCAAAAAAGGTCAAGCAGGAGCATCAGTGGTAGAGGGAAAGGAAAGCCAATTACTACTTTTTATTAGCAAGTGTGAGGGTTTTTTCCTTTCCCTCAGGGGAAATTGCATAATTACAGTCCACAACTTCTGTGCTTGGGTTTGAACACGCAAAGCTATCTACAGTTCCATAGCAAACCTTAGGACACAGGCAACTGTGTAAACTCAGATTTATCCAAAAAGTTGTCATACATAAACAGTTTGCAGCTGTTGGCCTTTCTGCCAGCTAATGAGCCCTCTGCTAGCCATATCTCTAAGGGGAATGATTACATTTATCCTACCAGCTCAGCTAGGCATTAGGATATTACATACTTGCCACAGTCATAGCCAAAGCTGGAAGAAGACAAGTTCTGGTGCATGGCTTCACATTTCATCCTATCCAAAACACCCAGGGCTTCCTTCTGATGACTGTGGAATATTCACTCAGCAAGTGGTTTATCCAGGTACTCCAGCTTTCAACTCTCTAATGTCTTCTTTTCATTGCACTCCTAATACTTTAATCTCTTCTTTTGCCAGCCACCTCTGGATACAGAACTTTTACTTGATTAAAACTTGGCTGGCTTTCCTCTTCTCAATGTATTTGCTGTTGGGAAGGGAGCCAAACTTGAAGTCCTGAAGTCTGCTTGGCACAGATGGAGACTCACTGCATATCCACATGCACAGAGCAAAGCTCCCATTCCCCACTGTTACTAGTTTGGTGTTGAGCTGATGTTTTTCTCATCCTCCCATGATTTTTAATTTGTGCAGCTCACACATTGCCATCAATTACACCCCTGTAGCCTCTCTTAACATCCTACATAAGTAAACTCAGGAAACGCTACAAATGATTCATGTTCTGCCTTTCCGTTCAATTGCAATGATACGTTTGACAGAGATGCCCTGCCTGTATTTACACATCCCGTCAGTCACCAAGGGAATCTCTCAGTGCTTATGACACTTAAAATGAAAAATACTTTTCCTTTCTATAAAGCCTACATATAAAAGGATCCAAAATTTAAAAAAACATTGAAGAACTACTAAACTCACTAAACTGCCTCCAAGATAGGTAATCACACAATCCCTGTTCTACAGCTGAATAAATAGAAGTCCCAAGCAATCAGCAGTATCCATGTGAAAGAACAGAATCCATGGAGGGACCCTCTCCAGCATGAGGGGCTCAGGTTGCTACCATCACTGTCCTACTGAGCCACCAGTTCCGAGTTTGGTTTACAGGGATCATCCAGAAGAAGCTAACAGGGTGAGCTGTTCCTTCGCTTTATGAAAATGTGCTAATTCAAAGCCAGACATGCAATTTTAGTGGCACAGATTAATTTGGCTTAATGCTGCATAGTCATCTAGATGCCAATTTCTGTTAATCTTGCGCTAACAACATGGTTTCCATTAAGAGTTTAATACTCATGTATGGAAACTGTTTTCCTTAGCAGTAATTTTCATTGTCACTGTATTTAA